GGGACTCAAACTTGCGCAAGTTCCTCCCAACTTTGGTGGGATACACGTTTTTTAAGCTCTCGTAAGCAGGTCGGAAAGGAACGGTACTACAAGAAGCTGGTGTCGTTTAAACTTATACGACTTCCCGGTGGTAGGGTAGCGGATTTATCCGTTGTTTCGGCAAGAGGTGTGAAGCAGGAGGTTGGTAGGTCTTCATAAAATGTTCTTCTTCCCAATCTCTTATTTATACACCTGCTGACGCAACATGTGAGCTTTGGGGATCCTGAAAAACTGGTAATCGATAGAGGCCAAAAGGCACTGGAATTACGACAAAATTTAGATTTCCAGCCGTTTAAATTTCTGCGGGATGCTGAGTAGAAACACAACGTATAATGTCATATGGAAACTGTAAAGAAAGGCCTCTATTGCTAGTCTTTGTTGACTTTTTTTTAACGATTCCGGTATACCAGTCGAGAGATATTGCAGTAAGGAACCAATCGGATTTGGTGCAGCAGCGCTAAAAACTTCAATGCAGCATTATTATTGGAAGGTAAGTTATCAGATGGACCTTTTGTTTAGAAAGAGTATAAGCAGCAAGTTTGTTGACCCCATTAGAGCGACATTTACGATTCTCGAGGAAGACTTTTTGGGGAGTCATCATTAAGAGGTGTAAGAAATACTGATTTTTAGAGGTGTGTTATCAGGTTATAATATGCAATGAATCTCATGCATTTCTGCTATTGAGCTTGATCGTGGGTATCCGCTACTACATTGCTTATCATTCAAACTTCCATTATTTGCCTGGTGTTAACTTTGTTGGACACCATGCCATTACCGAAATATAAGAATCTGCTGTTTTCCTGAAAGGGCATAAGGCATCATTAGATCAGCCTATAATCCACGCAGATATGTGCATAGTCAGCCTGGAAAAACATTGTTATATATACAAACATTGATAGTTGCACTGTCTGAAAAATTTGCTTGAAGTAATTTTGTTATTTAATGTTAAACATGGTTTAACATGATTTATGCCATGTTTTAACTATTTGCGAAAGTTTTGTTCTAGCAGAAAATTAATATGAAAGTTGATAATGAGAAGGAAAAATAATATTTTTGGGATTTCTTATCTTTCCTCTTGAAAATGTTTCAGTTGTTTTGTACTTCTGAAGAAAAATTATGTTTTGTGGGAATAAATAATAATTTTGCTTCTTTTCTTTTTTTGACCATACATGTCATTCGTACGTTGTTTACTCGCAGTTTCTATAGCTGGACATTTTAGTTGGGTGAACCAAATGTTATTTAATTCCCACTTACTGGTAGATGCAGTCAAAAGAAATATTAAAAAGTACTAGAATCCGTGAAAAAAAAGGCGGTATAAAGGAAAAGAAAGAAGGGAGCAGAGTTGTAATACAGAAATGAACTGGATTTTACGGGTTTCAAGTCAGCTTTTCACTTTCAAACTTGCATTCTTTCAGTAATCTTTGCTCGTAGGTGCCCTTAGCTTTTTCATCTTTTTCCAAAACTTTCGACTTACGTCCAAGCAGACCTCAAATGTAGTAAGTGTGAGTTGCATTTTAATCATACTGGATAAAGGAAAGCCAGGGAAATGAACTTTAAAAAAACTTTAATTTTATTTCTCAACTGCAGCTTTAACTCCTTAATAAATCGCCACCAATGTCTTTATCCAAAATTTTTTCGATTTTAATTCCTGTCGGACCAGTTTTTCTTTCTTTAATATTTTTAACGGTTGTAGAGTCTCATTGAGAGTGTGCTTTGCCTAACAGAGAAGTACAACAGTGGAAGGTGTTGACTGGCTATGTCGCTTCTGTGAGAGCTCCAACTGGACGAGTTCCGGCTATCTCTAAAGGGGTTTTATTATTAATAGGTTATAACTTTCAAGTTGCTGTTATTTTTAAACAGTTGCTTTAATGTGGAAATTAATGTGTTTTTTCCTACTTTATTATAT